CAGCCCAGGCTGCAGTGCTGCGGATGATTTTGGTTAGCAGGCCTCACTGCCCCTCCCGCAACAGTTTGCAGGATTGAGGTGAAGGCAGAGAAGAAACCAGTGAGCTCCCTTTGGAGGGCCGTGGCAGCACCTAGACCGGGAGTGTGGCTGGAGAGGCTTCGCCCCAGGAGCCACAGTGGAGAAATGTCCTGCTGCCCCTTGCCTTAATCAAGCATTTGGTTTTCCTCTCTTCCCTCTCAGCTTTTAGATTTGTTCTAGCTGCCTCCTTTGGAGCGGAATACCCTGCCTAGGAGGCCATCCCAAATCTAAACCTTCGACGAGGTAGCAGCAGAGGTGAGGCCTCCGACACCCGCCAAGGTGCCCCGTCTCCTCCGGCCCTCTCCCGGCGCAGGGCTGAGCAGAGGTACCTGCGGCCCTGAGAGCAGCCCTGCGGGATCCCCTGCAATGCGACAGCTGGGTACTTGGCTCCATCGCCCTTTGGTGCTTACATGTGTATATAGGTAGGGCTGCCAGGCCAAGACCCCTTGCTGTGGGGGGCAAATTCATCGCTAATGTGGCATCCTGCAGTGATGCTCTGGGTTGGCAGCTCAGGCTGGGGTTTCTTCTGACGGTACAAAACAAACAGGGTTTATCCTGAGCTGGGTAACTGGGCTGCATGTGGCCCGGCAGCTTTAGCCCTGCTGAGGATCACCTGTAAGCAGGTGGGAAGGGTAGTAGGAGTGTCTCACTTAAAGGCTGCAGAGGCATTTGCACTTTGGCAGTGAAGGATTTTGAAGGGATTTGAGATGGCAAAAACTCATGCTGAGACTGAGATCCTCCTGCTGTTCTTAGCTCCTGCTCCTGGTTTTTGTGGCTCTCCCAAGCCCTCTTTGTACCCTGCTCACGTCTGTTGCAGAAACAGAATGAAAAAGTTGGGCCTGCCCCTGCCAATGTTCCCCCCTGTTCAAGCAAGTCCAGCTGGTAAAGACAGGGAGAAATGCACATGGTGTCTCCCCTTTTTGTGAGAAGTTTGTTGTGTTGGAATTCAATTAAAAATGAAAAAAAAAATCTGTTAACCTGTTGAAGGAATAAAGTGTTGGAAAAATGCTGGCATAAATCCCCCTTCCCTCTCCCTTTGCATTTGTCTTTGCTCAAGTAGGAGAGCGCTGCTGTGACGCTGCCGTGCATCCGTCTCCGTAGTGAGGGACCAGCAGAGGCAACGGGGATCCCTCCCAGAAGGCACTGGGCGAGCGGAGTTGCCTGCTGGCCTCCCGTGAGTGGGGTGATCCTTCTCGCGGCTATCGGCCAGCGAAACGGCTGCTGGCTTCCCGAAAGAGCCTCGGCCCGGGGGGGTGACGGGCTCCATTTTCCTGGCTTGTTCTTGAAGGGAATGTTTCCACCCTCTCCCAGTTTCCACTGAAATTGCTCTTAAAAATCCTGGTGAAATTTCTCTGCTTAATGGCCCTTTTAGTGCGGCTCTGCTGGAGGGTTCGAGGGAAGTGTGGCCTCTCCAGCAGCTGTAGCCTTGGTTTCCGGTAAGGAAAGAGGCTCTGCCCCAGCGCTCCTGTGGCACTGCGTGAGCGCGGAGCGCTTGCTCCGACGTTTCAGCTGTTTACAGGCAGGTTTGTGGCTGTTTCTTGCCCAGTGCTAGCTGCCTGCCCAGCCTGACCCCCCCTCCCTACTCTCCCGGGGGGCTGAGCAGGCAGAGGCGAGAGCAGAAGCAAGGTGCAGGGAGCTTTGCTGGCCAAGTCTCAGCTGGAAGCTTTGTTTTTGAGGCAGAGCCTTGGAGCTGCTCTTTGTCCGGTGGGAGGCACAAGCCGAGGGTTGGAGCGTCCCTCCTCGCTGCCTGGATCAAATCCAGCTGGCACAGCATGGCACGGCACAGCCTCACTGCTGGGGTGCCAGCGCAGCGGGGGGGACCCCTCCGGGGTGCAGGGGCCGGCCTCGAAGATGCTGAAGAAATGCAAAGTTCTCATGACCTGCAGCTGAGAGCAGGGAAGGAGAGCGCCTTCCTCCCTGGGCCCGAGCTTGCTTTGCTGTGCTCTTGTTTGATGAATTGAAATGCATGGAGGCAGAAAGAGCGAGGGCTGGTGTGTGTGCGTGGGGTCCAGGGGGTCCCTGCGCAGCGCATGTCCAGGCCCTTTGGGGCTAGGGCAGCCAGTGCGTGTCTCCATCCCCCTTGCCTGTGCTCCATGCTCTCCGCTCTCCTGACAACCACGGCCATGCGCTTTCCTCTCACCAGCCCCCCTTCCCCACTCGCGCTGGCCCTGTAACAGCGCGGCCGTCACGATTATTTTATGCTTAAATGATTCATCCATGTGAGTTGCCTTCCCCTGGTTTCGTGGACGCGTTGAGCCCGCAGCCTTCAGGTTGTGGCCTCCCCTTGGAAATGGGGAGGCTGTCCCAGTGCCCGCCCCATGCACAGGGGCTGCGGCCCCCCTGCCCCCTTGGAGGTGTGTGGCAGGGGCCCACATGCTGCACTCCCCTCTCTGGGCAGATGGGCTGGAGCGAGCCCCCTTCCTAGGGGAAGGGGTTAATGGGGAAAGCAGACTTCCCCCCCCCCCCACCAAGA